CGCCCCGGCTCGATGTGTTAAGGTGCACAAATTATCGCTCTGGTCGAACACAAACAGCATCAGGGGTGGTCCGACAAACGCATGGGGGGCGCTAACGCCTCTTCCGGCTCGGCATGAGAAATTGGAATTCCCGACCGTCGTCGGCGAGAATGTTCGATAGATTCACAAAGCTTTCCAGTAATGTCCAGATGAATCAACTGTGAAAACTATCCTCGTAAACTTACAGTATATTTTGTAATAAATATTTACAAAATATGTTGTAAATTTATGACGATCTTGCTTGTTGATTAATTCCAAGTCGATACGAAGTGCTTGCAATTTTACAATTTTGAATTATAGTTTTACGACTCGCATCACGGAAAATTTTCCCGTAAAAGCTAAAACTATTTTTAACAGTGGAAATGCTTCCAGCTTCCAGCAGGAGTTCGCATAGTGTTCACAAAAACATCTAAGGACAAGACGGTCCGAACGATGAAAAGCTGAGAAATATGAGCTTTGGCGGTTGCTTGCTCACCTCGGGGCTGACGGTGCGCTCGCCCATGTTGCGCACCCGGCAGTGCAGGAAGGCCGAGCCCCCCAGCTGCACCGTGACGTTGGTGACGGTGTTGTTGTCGGCGCCGGACTCCCGCTGGTGGTGATCGTCTAGGCTCGAGTACCACTGCTGCTGCCAGTCGCCCTGCTGGTTGGTGATGTGCCTCCGGCTCACCGCGTGCCCGCCCGGAGCGGCACCCACTGGAAACACACAAAAAATACGTATTCTTACTACAATCACAAAATTTCATGTCTTTGCATATATTTTCTTCTGTTTTGTTTTTTCAAAATTAATTTTCAGTCTGCTCCGCCTTCGAAAAAATCTACCGTCTTCTTTTCTTGGCCATTGTGCCGAGTTATTTCCGGCCTATTCATGGGGGAAAAGTCACCAAACTCACTTTTCCCTTTCAGAAAAGATGAGTCTAAAAAATTGCAGCCCTTGCGATGCTTTCCCCCCTTCCCCATACCCCGGTCGCTCGCGCGCACCCCTTCTTCTTATTCTTCCGCTCTACCCACAAAAAATAAAAACATGGGGGGAGAAAAAGAAAAGGAAGAGCCCCCGCGGCGGCCACCTTCGATGGCCGGCCTTTGAAATCAAGCCCACGTTAAATCTCTTTATCGATACATTTCAGACCCTGAAAGAAAAACCCTCCCCTTTCTGATTCACTGGCCTGTGAAACATCCCATTTGACATGGCTCTGTGAGCTATAATTATTTCGCAACAAAACCAATTCCACGTTGACCAGTTCGGAGGCCGACCGGCAGAGGAGGAAATTGATGGGCTTCGAGAGGCTTTCGCATGGCCGCTTCTCGCGTCGGCTGCGGAGACTGCCCAAACCTAACGCTTCACAATAAATAATGAAAGGAAAAAGTAAACAAAGGGGGAAAGTGGAATAAAAATGGAATAAAGGAAAAGCCGTGACACGGCTCAGACACGAAACCGCGAGTCAGAATTAAAAGACGCAAATCGACGGGGAATGGAGCGGGGCCAGGTCCATATTGGCCGTATCGACTCCCCCACACTACAGCTCGAGCCCGCACCATCTCTCTCTCTCTCTCTCTCTCTCTCTCTCTCTCTCTCTCTCTCTCTCTCTCTCTCTTTCCTTCCCTCTCTCTCTCTGAAGCTTGAAAAATATACGATATTACCCAAGCGCGGGGAGAGAGGGCGGGGCGCCGTGCTGGCGGATCTTTGGGCAGGCGAGATATGGCGAGTGATTTGCAAGGATGAGCTTCGGCCAAACGCGTTTTCGCCACATCACCACGCCGCGCCAAAATGGGGGGAGGACCTCCCTCTGCACTCTCACTCTCTCTTTACTCTCTGTCTCATCTTATGGGCTTTCGCCACGCCTGCCCACACCACCCAAAACCAAGACTAACTGCTCCTAGTCATTTACTCAAATTAGAAATTTGACCAAACGGGCAAATTTCGTACAAGTGGTGGCAGGGCCTGTTCCTTTACCTCCCAATCCAGCAGCCGTGGTGCTTCTAAGCCGCGCGCGCACACACACACACACACACACGCATGAGAACGCCCCCCCCCCCCCACCGCTAGAGCGTTGTTTCTGTCGCTGTAACATCACACGCACACACATGTGGAGCTAATGAAACGCGTTCCAAGTAATGTAACTTAATCAAGTGCGATCCTTACATTAGCTGGGTCGTTACTAGACTTGAGGGAGGGGAAGGGAGGGGGGGGGGTAGAGCAGGGGAGCAGGATAGCAAAGCCCAGGGCTGCGTGCGGCCACTGCCGCCCCACCCCCACACGAGAGGGGAAAGGGGGGTAGGGGGTAGGGAGGGTATGTGCGGCACTGCTGTGCGAGGCCAACTTGCGGATACCCCAGTGATGGAAGTTAGGCCCTTGCTTCAGCAGCTCCAGCGCGCCAGCCACCACCGCTGCAGCGGGGGTGTAGCTTAACTTGCTGTGAAATTCCCGACACCGCATTAGTCGTGACGTTATCTCCTCCACTCTCCGAACCCCTTCACCGTGGTCCTGTCGGCCCTGGCTCCACGCCGCCGCGCCGGCCGCCCGTGTATCCCCGCGTACCTGCTTCAATTTAACATCGGGATAGTGGAGGGGTGACGGGAGGGGATGGGGAGGGGAAGATCCTTAGCCCGGCACTTGCAAACATAAAATACGACATGC